AGGATGGTCTCGATCTCTTGACCTCGTGATCCACCCGCCTCGGCCTCCCAAAGTGCTGGGATTACAGGCTTGAGCCACCGCGCCCGGCCCTCTCTGTTTTCTTTTAGAATAGTTTTGACTCATATTTAGATCTGCGATCCATATTGAGTTAACTTTTACAGATGATGTCAGGTAAAGGTCCGAGTTCCTTTTGTTACATGTTTGGTTATCACAGCATTGTTTCTTTTCTTTCTTTTCTTTTTTTTTTTTTTGAGACAGAGTCTCACTCTAGTGTCAGGCTGGAGTGCAGGGGCGCAATCTTGGTTCACTACAAGCTCCACCTGCCAGGTTCAAGCGATTCTCCTGCCTCAGCCTCCTGAGTTACTGGGACTACAGGCATATGCCACCACACCCAGCTAATCTTTGTATTTTTAGAAGAGACGGGGTTTCACCATGTTGGCCATCATGGTCTCTATCACTTGACCTCGTGATCTGCCTTCCTCGACCTCCCACAGTGCTGGGATTACAGGTGTGAGCCACGCACCTGGCCTACTTTTCTGATTTTTTTTTTTTTAAACTAACCTATCCATATTTAGACTAAAGACTCCATTACCCCTGTGGCGTGCAGCTGCTTATGTCTCTGCTCGGTTTTTCCTTTATTATCATATTTTAACCTGGCTTCCTAGGGATCACCCCCTTGTCTGTAGAGCTCAGTCATTCAGGTAATGATTTGGAGCGCACTTGTACTCAAACCCCTTGAGCCCATAAGACTTCCATCTCTGCTAATGGATCTGTGTGTTGATTGAAGAATGCATTCAAAATTAGAGGTACTTCTCCTATCTTTCTTGGCTTTTACTCTCAGCTGAGACTTCTTAGCTCTCTTCTAAGCATAGATGGTTTCCCAGTCAGCCAAGGATGTGTGACCTTCTATGGCTTTCTGGTTGCCAGGAATTAGCCCTTAAATTTCTGGTCGATCCACTGCTTACCCCAACTTAGACTACAAATCTAGGATAACAGAACTTTGCTTTTCTCCATTGCCACTTGTAGTTGGCTTGCCATGGGTTCCCATTCCTACCCGCAGCTTAAGTTTTCTTTATCTCAAAAGGTTGCACACTTTTTAGTTATATTTATGTAGCAGTCTCAAAATGACAAAGGTAGAGAATAGACTGATAGTTATCAGATCTAGGGAAGGAGAGGGAGTGTGACTATAAAAGGCAACAGGAAATAGTCCCTTGGTGGTGACTTGCAACAGTTTGATATCTGATTGTGGTAACCTATAAACGAGAGAGAACTGTATACACAAACTCACCAGTATATGTAAATAACAGTGAAAATGGAGTAAGATCTGTAGTCTAGTTAATGGTATTATAGCCCTGGCAGTTTTGTGCATGAGACTCTACATCCAGATTTTGCAACTTTCTATGATTCTTGAGTATTTCAGAGTACGAAATTTTAAAAATTTAATTTTAATTAATTTAGGGACATGGCCTTGCTTTGTCACCCAGGATGGAGTGTAGTGACACTGTAAGCTCACTGTAGCCCCAAACTCCTGGGTTCAAGCTATCTTCCCACCTCACTCAGTCTGTGGAGTAGCTGGGACTGCAAGGTACACCACCACACCTGGCTAATTTTCTAATTTTTTTTAGAGTTGGGGTCTCGCCGTTTTGCCCAGGCTGATCTCAGTCTCCTGGGCTCAAGCGATCTTCCCACCTTAACCTCTTAAATAGCTTGGACTTCAGGTATAAGTCATCATGCCCAGTAGGCCTACATTCTCAATTCCTGCAATTCAGGCGCTCTTAAGCCTTTTCCTTTTTTTTTTTTTTCTCAAGGAAATAGGGTCTCACTATGTTGCCCAGGCTGGTCTCCAACTTCTGGGTTCAAGCAGTCCTCCTGCCTCTGACTCCTAAAATGCTCGGATTACAAGTGTGAGCCACTGCATCTGGCCAAGAGTCCCACCTTTTAAAAGACACAACTGGAACCTTCTTCTGGTGCTATATAGCTGTGATTAGATTCCTCAGTTACTTGACCCCCTATCCCTTTCGTATTATTCTGGGTGTACACTGTGATCCAAAACTCTTTTGTCTCTTTCCAAAGGCATGCCATTTATCAGCAGAATAAAGAACACTTCCAGGATGAGTGTACTAAGCTTCTGGTTGGCAATATTATCATCACCCGATATAACAATCGTACCTATCGTATTGATGATGTGGATTGGAATAAGACTCCAAAGGATAGCTTCACGATGTCTGATGGGAAGGAGATCACATTCTTGGAATACTACAGGTAGCAAGAAGAGACTGGGTTTGGGCCTCAGGATGGGGGTTGGATGTAGTCCACATTCTCTAGCAGGATATTTAGTTCTGCAGTAGCATACAACTTGACACTTTAAAAACAATTGAATTGGTAATGTGTCTAAAGTTGAATGAGCTTATTTGTGGGATTTGAACTGAGTATGCTTTGAATTTTTTTTTTTTTTTGAGAATTTTTTTGAGACAACGTCTTGCTCTGTCCCCCAGGCTGGAGTGCAGTGGCATGATCTTGGCTCACTGCAACTTCTGTCCCAGGTTCAAGTGATTCTCCTGCCTCATCCTCCCAAGTACCTGGAACTACAGTCATGTGCCACCATGCCCAGCCAGTTCTTGTATTTTTAGTAGAGACAGGGTTTCACCATGATGGCCAGGCTGGTCTCGAACTTCAGGTGATCCACCCGCCTCAACCTCCCAAAGTGCTGAGATTATAAGCTTGAGCCATGGTGCCTGGCCTGAATTGTATTTCTTTTTCTGATTTTATTAGAAGTCTGGAGAGATTACATTCAAGTCATTAATCATTTGACTGTCATTTCATCTTTCTGTTGCCTAAGCCCTTTATTTTAGCCTGATGAGCTTTTTAATAAAGTCTTTTCTGAATTTTTAGCCTTATTTCTCATATATGTAACTGCAACATAATTTCAGCCTGCTTTTTCCAGTTACAAATACATATAATCACTTTCCAGTCGGTCCTTGACAAGGGTATTATGCAAATTGTATACCTCATTTGTGGTTAGGAGACTCAGACGGTGTTGCTCTAAGAGTAGTGATGTCACTTCTGAAATTTTTTCCTGCCTGTACTGTCCTGTAGCAAAAACTATGGGATCACAGTTAAAGAAGAGGACCAGCCCCTACTGATCCACAGGCCCAGTGAGAGACAGAATAACCATGGGATGGTGAGTAGGGGCTGTCAGACTTATACTTCCACCTTAAGTTCTTCATCCTGTCAGTAGCTTTTAGCCGTCCACATGGCTCTGTGGGAGCTGTGGAATAGTGATTGTATTGTGGGTGGGGAACACTGTGCAAGGGTTTGTCTGTTTCATCCAGCCAGAGGCACCCCTCACACTGGTAAGATTTGCTTTAGAAGTTCCCATGAGGTGCAGCTAAATATCCACATAAGCTATTAGGTTAAAGGGATAAGGAGAATTGCCTGTGAAGGAAGATTAAAACTGAATCCGTGAGGAAAGGTGTAGACATTTATTTTAACAGGGCCAGAGGCTTGAGGAAGGTGCCTTGTCACCTGACTCCCCTGTCTTAAATGTGAAGACTGAAGACCAGTAGGTTACAGTGAGACTGAGGCATGCTGCTTAACAATAGGAGGCGTTGTCTTGCCATTGTCTTGAGGCCAAGAGGGACAAATGTTTTTTCTAGTTTTCCCTCGCCTTCGAGTTTCAGTATTTTTCCTTTGACCTAATACAACAAGTTATATGTATAGTGAGACGGAGGGAGAAAGGATGAAATAGTTCTAGCATTTCACTGCCCCCTCCTCCAGGATTTTACACTCCTTAAATGTGCAAGGTATATCACTGCAGGACCAGCCCTGGGCCATGGCGTGTCCTTTATGGGTCAGGGGAACACAAGCCTCTTGTACTGCCTTATTTTCCCTCTTCATTCTCTCTTCAAAGCTGCTAAAAGGGGAAATCCTGCTGCTACCCGAGCTTTCTTTTATGACCGGAATCCCAGAGAAGATGAAGAAGGACTTCAGAGCCATGAAGGTTAGAGTCCTGTGTTTTCAGCAGGAAAGGCCCACTTTGCGTGGCAGCCTTTTGGTTAGCAGTTTGAGTTAGAACCGAGCCAGGTTCTGACTCTGATGTTGGCTTGCATTGTAACCTGGGCAAGTCCATCTTCCAGGCTCCAGTTTTCTCCTCTGTGAAACATGACCCCATGTCCCTTCCCACACACAATGTGAAAGAGCATATCAGAACTTCCTTTTGAAAGTCATTAGAACACTAGAGGGACTGGATTATAAAATAAGAAGAAACAAACACCCCTGCCTTCATCCTCACCAGTCAGATGGATGATTGTAAACTGGTCATATGACCATGAGTGAGGTTCTTTGAGAGCACTGGATTATTGTAATGTTTCTGAAAGCCTTCAGTTTACTTGAAGGTGTGGAGAAGATAATGAGGCAGCAAGCCAACAAGTCAGGAGATGAGGATAGAAGTTTATCTTGTGGGGCCCTGGGTGTCCTGAGTAGCAGAGATGAGTACAGCAGCTGGCGCCTAGGCGGTGTGAGTCCAGACCCCGAGGGACGACCCACAACACTCTGTCTGTAACTCCTCGGGCTGTCCACACTTGAGCTCTTTTCTGCTGCCTCGCTTTCCAGTCCTTACCTGTCTTAGACCCATATGCCACATACAGTTTTTAGTAACATCATAAAGGAAGAGGTTGAAGTGAAGCTCCAAAATCCTGTGAGAGATTACTTTCATGTTTACCTTCCGATACTTCTACTTTCACCTATGGTGTCAGACAAGGCCTTTTTTGTACAATTCCCAGTTTCCTGATGACTTTAGATCACAGAGCTACATCTATATAGCCCTATTGACTTACCCTAATGCCCACCTCACAGGGAATAACAGCTGTGCAATTCATCCATCTCAGAAAAGTAAAGAAAGAACTCACTTTTATGATCCACAATCTTCCTGCATACCTGTTAGATTTTACTCAACAATAAATATTTAGCAAGTACCTATTAATGAGTCAAACACCATGACAAGTTCTGGGCAAAAAAGTGACTTATGGTAACATTAAGTGACTAGTATACTATGGCATATAGTGTTAGACTGAATATGGTTTTCCCTTCTGCTGTGTTTGGCTGGATGCCTAGAACATGGCGTTTTTTCCACATTTTTTTTTCCCAAATTTTATTTCTTTTTCAATATTTTTTTCATTATACAGACCGGGTCTTGCTATGTTACCCAGTCTGGTTTCAAAGGATCTGCCCACCTTGGCCTCTCAAAGTGCTGGGCTTGCAGGCGTGAGCCACTGTGCCCGGCCCCACATTTTAAATAGGTATAATCAAGCCCCTTTGTTCCTGTTTCATGGGCTCCTTAGGAATTTTAAAGTCAAAACATGCTTTGAGAAAGAAATAAGATCCATACATCATAAAAGAGGAAGAGTCAGTGACATTTAAAATTCTCTCTTTTTTTTTTTGAGATGCAGTTTCACTCTTGTTACCCAGGCTGGAGTGCAGTGGCGC